CTGGTGAAATCGACTTATTGGATAAAATCAGTGCTTTTCATAACTTGATTTTGTTTGTCATGGTTCCCTCTACGAATGCTAGCGATTAACTGTTTGTATATGTTGAACTTTGTGTAGGGGGTTGGGAATCCATGGTAGAAACACTAAACTATTTATTATAGGTAGGATTGTATTTTTCTTTTTTTTTTTTTTCTTCAAAGTACACAATTCTGTCTTTGTATGTTGTAAGACAAATAATCACTTCACCTTTGGTGCCTTCCATGTATCACGTGAGCACTCCTGTCAATCATGGAAATGGGAAAAAAAGATGTACATTTAGTTAAACCAGATAACACTATTTTTGTAGCATGATTTTAGACTGTGTCCTTTTAATATTGCTTTCAACAATGCTGGTTTTGAGGTTTTGGCCATTTTCCCTTTAAACTTCGTATATATTTTAAAAAAGAAAAAAAAAAAAAAAAGAAACCAAAACACTCCCCCGGCTATTCCTGTCTTTCTGCTGCCTTTCCCCCCACGTCTTCTGCTTATTTAAATAGCCTGAGAGTTAAGGGTATATTTCTGTGAAATAATGACAAGTCAGTATAAGTGTATTGGGTACATTTTAACCACTTGCTCAGCTTGGAGAGCCGCTGCTCACTTTCAGACCATAGGAGGACAGTGGTTTGTACTAAAGACAAAACAAGCAAAAAAAGGAACGTCACTGATCCGAGTTCCCCTTCTTTGGGTCTATGGTGGTGGAGAGCCTGCATCTAGCTCTTCCCCCTGTGGTTTGGGCTGGTCCGTGGGTGTGCTCTGGCTTGTCGTCTTGGGGATCCGCTGGGCACCCTCTATCTCTGCAACCTGCCCGCCTGCCTCTGCTCTGTGGGAAGCTTTCCAGAGGTGGTCGCCCCTGCCGGTCTCTGGGGCTCACTTTCCACTCAGATTTCAGTGGGTCTCGTGGACTGGGTGGGCTCGGCGGCCCTTTCTAGGCTTCAGGCCTTGACTTTGAGTTGTGTGAAACTAAGACGTGGGTACTCGCTGGAGCGGCTCCCCCCTGTGAATGTCCCACCCCTGCAGGACACAGTTGTTTATGTCTGGTTAAGAAAGACCTTCAGTAAACTAGCTGAGCCATGGCGAGAGGAAGGTACGGACTTGCTGAAACAAAAACTAGCTTTTTTCTTCTTTCTCTTCTGAAGGATGAGAGTATGTATTTGATAACAAAGGACGTGAACTCAGAGGCTTAGTAGTAACCCTCCAATGCGATTACTCATTGGCACTTCACCCAGTGGCACTTTTCAGGGGGCAGTGTTAATTTTCTGATTTTACTTTGCTTCTTAAAAGTCTGTTTCATTTTATGTGGAAAGACACAGCTGCAGGGGCACTCTGAGGTGATGACCATTTGGCGACTTTGGTTTCTGCCCGTTGGGAGTCAGCGCCCCTGTCCTAGGTTTTCACACTGACCCAGATGCCCGGGGTGAGCACTCCCCGGTTCTGACCGGCTCCCGGGTCTGCGTCCGTGCGTCGGAGTGGTCTGTGCGGCCCCAAAGCTTTCGCTCGTGTTGATTTGTCCCTGAGAGCAGACAAAGCCTCACGTCACCCTCAACCTCCCCCTTTCTTTTGAAGGACCAATTTTTCATGGTACTTGTCTTGATTGTTTTCATAGTGTTCAAATCTGTATTTTTGTATGTAGAGGGAAATAATTTTCTCAACACTAATCGCTAATAAATACTGTATTAAATTGTCATGAAGGAGTTCTTGTTTAATAAACAGACCTGTAAAAATGCTGCTGCCTCTTTCTTCCCTCTGCCCTGCTTTGGAGGCACCTGCCCAGTTCCTGCACTAGGCCACCGTCCACAGGACAGGAGGAGGCCGCTGTGACGTGTCCCCAGCCGGCTTTGCCAGGCTGGTGAGGTGGAGCAGACTCCCCTGTTGCACATGCACCTTTCATGCATGTTTCCAGAAACACATGGGTGTTGTATGTGGAAGATGAGGCAGGAGGCCTTACCTCTTCCCACCAGCCTGGGCAGAACACCCTTTAGGGATCCTCTCAGGCCGTGAGGTCCCCTGAGCCGCAAGTTTCCAGATCACAAGAGCCCTAGGTACTGGCTGCCTGAGAGGTCACCTGGTTGTGTGAGAGAGAGGGCCTGGAGCCAGCGGCCTAGCCGTGCTCATGGTTCCCACAACTGCAAAGCAGGACTCTGAGGATTAAATGTGAGGACAGAGTGCCCGTCAGATGCTCACCCGTGGGCTGGCATGGAACAAATGCACCTGTGCCGTTGCTAGAACCCACGCCGTCAGGTTCCGCCCCCTGTGCATCCAGGATACTGGACAGAATCACTGAGGCTGGCCGATGGTTTGTCCTAACACATCTGCTCCAAGTAGGTGTTCAGTCTGCTTTAATCCAGCCTGGGTTTTCTTTCTTTTTTTTTTTTTTCAGGATAGGAGATTCACATGCAAGAGAAGAGCAAGGTTACAAATGCCCAAAACATGGGTCCAGAATTCTGGCTCATTTCATGAGGCCTGCTGGGTCACAGAAAATGCCATTTGTTAAGAGGCTACACTTGTATAAAAAAATTATAAAAAGTTACAAAATCCCACTAAGATACATACACAGTAGAAGTCCTTAGGTGAATGCAGAAGGCTTGCCTCACCCCTTGGTGGTCAGCAGACTTAGAAGTGCATCGTCCTGAGGCCTAAGGACCATCTTTGGGGTGCCAGCCCCAAGAGGAGTGGGTTGGCTGGGCCTGCCCAGCTGCCTGTGACGCTGTCACAGTTCCCTGTCCTTTGGACTGGCGAGCTTGGCTACGAGCTCTCCTGTGAAACGGTCTCAGACCCAGAATGGTCATCTCACCCATGGACGGCGGCGTGGTCTTCCCAGGGGGACAAGACCCATTCTTTTCCATGGTAAGGCAAAGTCACTTCTCTCTCTGCTTGGCATGAGCTGGGACAACAGCTAAGATAAAAACCTCTGGGGTCTGGGGGCCTGGCTCTGTGGTGGCTTTGGTCTGGATTTGCTGCTCGTGACACACAGAGCCCGCCCGCTCCACCTGCAGCATGCTGGGCGTACTGTGGCAGGTGGGAAGAATGCTGGGTCCTCTCCGCTTGTTTTTGGCAGAAAGGTTAAAGGGCTCAGGATCCTGGGACAGAAACGAGAAGGGGTGGGTGCCCTCAGGTGCAGTGGTTCGACGGTGCCAGCCGAGCTCGCTGGCTGGGCTCAGGAACACATCCTCGGGGAGGTGAGAGCCCGTTCCCCTGGCAACTCCTGTGCTACAGAGTCATGGCCTCCCTCTGACGTGCAGGTCCCGGGCCCCACTCCCACCGCCCGGTGGGAAGGTGAGGGTTGCCGGGGTTGCTAGGGCATGAGCAGGCCTTCAGTCTGAGTCGGAGTCAGAATTCTCTTCTGAAAGGAAAGCAAAGAGGGTGTTGGCAGCAGTTTCCAGGGCAGTGGGGCCTGGTGGCTGGGTTGTCCTGGGCAGGAGCCCTAGGCCCAGCCCCTCCCAAGTTAGTCAGTAACAGAGGGCTGCTGGCTGGAGGGCGGGCCGAGCCTGGGCCCCTCCCCAGGGAGCTGCTTTTCCCTCCAGGGTGTGGGTGCAGGTGGGGATGGGTGTTTCCCCTGCAGATAGAAGCTCAGGTGCCCTGTCCTCTGGGGCCCAGGCCTCCCCATGTCTCTCCTCGGATTGTTCTCGCCTGGGGTGTCAGAGTTGGACATCTGCATCCCAACTCTTCCTCCAGGTTAGGACAAAGAGGAGGAAGACAGCTGTTTGTTGTCCTCCAAACTAAAGATACTGGAAAACCATTTATAGTTTCAGTCCCCTCTTTATAAGCCATGCCTTTTTTTTTTTTTTTTTGGAGAGGTTTTTGCTATAAGGCATGTGCACTCGCCAGAAAGACAGAGACAGAGAGACAGAAAGCGAGAAATCACCCCCCCAGGGGGAATGGCCACGCCACAATTCCTTCTTCTCCATTCTCCTCTCGGGATCTTGGGCACACATGCACCCAGCATGAGTTTAAACCACTAGGTCCGGGACTCGAACTGCGGTCGACTACATGGGAGTCCAGCAACATAGCCATTACGCTAACTGCTGGTCCCAACCCATGCTTTATATTGTGCACAAAAACAACTTTATAATGTTAAGGCCTGCCTGTGAGGGTGGCACTCTGAGGGTTCCTGAAATCCCAATACTGAAGATACTTTGTAGAATTTTCTGGAACCTCCTACCCAAGTCACTTACCCTCCTGCCCAAGCCCCAGTGCTGGCTGCCACTTTCTGCAGCTCATCCCCTCCCTGGCCAGCCTCTACCCCTTGAGCCCAGGTCGGATCTCAGGCTGGCTCTTGGACAAGCATGGGGCAGGGTCAGTGGGCAGCTAAGAGTTCCTGTGTGCTTGGAGACTCCCAAAACCTGACTCTTCCCCTTGCCCTGGCCAGGAAACACTGCTAAGCTTGTGTGGATTTTGCTGTATTCGATTCTAACATATAAGCCAGGAATAACTATAGCAAAAATAGGGGGGGAAAGTATATGTAAAATTATCCAGCTATTAAAAAAACAATTCGAAACCTGAGTGTCTACTGACATTTACTACTTGTTCATGGGGCTGGCTGGGGGCATGTGTCGCAGGCAATAGGCATAAAAACCAGCCTTCAACTTTGGCATAGTGGTTACGTCACTGGACTGCCATGTATTTGACCACGGTTCAAGTCCCATACCCAGTGGCTTCAAACTCAGGATGGGTGCATGTGTGTGTGTGCCCCAAATCCTGAGAGGAGAATGGAGAAGGGATTGTGGTGTGGCCACTGCCCCACCCCCCTGGGGGGGGTGGTTTGTTGTTTTCTGTCTCTCAGTTTCTCTCTGTCTCTCTGGTGAGCATACATTCCCTATGGCAAAAATCTCTCTATTACAAAAAACAACAACAAAACAAAACACTTAGGTAACAGCACAGTGGTCTGAGTTGGAGAACGATTTGAGGAGCCAGAATGTCTCTTGTACTTTCCTCAGAAACAAAACTAAAGCAAGCCTGAGCTTGCCTATGTGTGTCTAGGCACTGCTGATAAGGATAAGAGCAGTGGCCCTGGGCCTTAGGCCAAGGGTAGGGGAGACAGCAGGAGGCTGGGCTTGGGTGGTGGCTGCTCTGGACCCCAGGTAGACAGGAGCTGGGAGGGACTGGCAGCCTTGGGGCTCATCTGGGAAGGAAGATTTGCAGGGCTCATGGCACCAGGCACGCCCTCAGCCCCTCTTGGAAAGGCAGAGGCCCCGGGGAGGCACCCCATCCCTACAACATGAAGGGACATGAGAGCCAAGCCATGACCACTTCCTGTCTGGGGAGGGCAGAACTGCTCCTACCCAGCTCTAACTAGCCCAGTGTCCTCAAGGGCAAGGCCAGGCCTCTGTGGCAGCCTCTGGGGCAAGTGGCTGGCGCACTCTGAGGGTTCCTGAAATCCCAATACTGAAGATACTTTGTAGAATTTTCTGGAACCTCCTACCCAAGTCACTTACCCTCCTGCCCAAGCCCCAGTGCTGGCTGCCACTTTCTGCAGCTCATCCCCTCCCTGGCCAGCCTCTACCCCTTGAGCCCAGGTCGGATCTCAGGCTGGCTCTTGGACAAGCATGGGGCAGGGTCAGTGGGCAGCTAAGAGTTCCTGTGTGCTTGGAGACTCCCAAAACCTGACTCTTCCCCTTGCCCTGGCCAGGAAACACTGCTAAGCTTGTGTGGATTTTGCTGTATTCGATTCTAACATATAAGCCAGGAATAACTATAGCAAAAATAGGGGGGGAAAGTATATGTAAAATTATCCAGCTATTAAAAAAACAATTCGAAACCTGAGTGTCTACTGACATTTACTACTTGTTCATGGGGCTGGCTGGGGGCATGTGTCGCAGGCAATAGGCATAAAAACCAGCCTTCAACTTTGGCATAGTGGTTACGTCACTGGACTGCCATGTATTTGACCACGGTTCAAGTCCCATACCCAGTGGCTTCAAACTCAGGATGGGTGCATGTGTGTGTGTGCCCCAAATCCTGAGAGGAGAATGGAGAAGGGATTGTGGTGTGGCCACTGCCCCACCCCCCTGGGGGGGGTGGTTTGTTGTTTTCTGTCTCTCAGTTTCTCTCTGTCTCTCTGGTGAGCATACATTCCCTATGGCAAAAATCTCTCTATTACAAAAAACAACAACAAAACAAAACACTTAGGTAACAGCACAGTGGTCTGAGTTGGAGAACGATTTGAGGAGCCAGAATGTCTCTTGTACTTTCCTCAGAAACAAAACTAAAGCAAGCCTGAGCTTGCCTATGTGTGTCTAGGCACTGCTGATAAGGATAAGAGCAGTGGCCCTGGGCCTTAGGCCAAGGGTAGGGGAGACAGCAGGAGGCTGGGCTTGGGTGGTGGCTGCTCTGGACCCCAGGTAGACAGGAGCTGGGAGGGACTGGCAGCCTTGGGGCTCATCTGGGAAGGAAGATTTGCAGGGCTCATGGCACCAGGCACGCCCTCAGCCCCTCTTGGAAAGGCAGAGGCCCCGGGGAGGCACCCCATCCCTACAACATGAAGGGACATGAGAGCCAAGCCATGACCACTTCCTGTCTGGGGAGGGCAGAACTGCTCCTACCCAGCTCTAACTAGCCCAGTGTCCTCAAGGGCAAGGCCAGGCCTCTGTGGCAGCCTCTGGGGCAGTCGGCTGGGTCCCCTGACAGAAGCCCACAGGGCAGCCACCCACCTTCGGCCTTGCCGGCTGTGCTCTCGTCTGCGGAGTCCCCTTGTTTCAGGAATTTGGCCACGTCGTTGAAGATCAGGTAGAAGTCAACTGCAAACACGATGGTGGCAAAGAAGCCAAACACCTGTGGGACAGGGGATGGGATGTGTCTCCAGGAGCTGGAGCCCTGGTTCGGAGGGTGCGCCTGGAAGCCACTGCCTGGCCCCACAGCCCCATTTCTCCCCTGCTTGGACAGCCAGCCTGTGCCGGCAGGCACAAACCCCGCTGAGTAGTGGGAGTCGCGGGAAATGGGAAAACAAGCTGCAAACTTGGCTTGAAAACAGCCTCCCCAGACTCGGGGTACAGTAAGCCTGGGTAGCTGAGACCCAAAGGGCTCAAACAGCGAAGGGATGCAGTGCCCTCGGAGCCTCAGGAGGGGTGGTGAGCTGGCAGGCAATGTTGCTGGGCACCCCCCTCCCCAAGGGTAGGGCAGCTGCTCACCCCGGCTGCTTTGGAAGCTCCGTCGGAGTATTTGGCGACAGCTGTGATGGAGATGGCGAAGTAGATGAGGGCGGCCGTGACACAGCGCAGGAAGTCCTGGGGGGAGAGGGGCATGCGTAGGGGGGCCTGGCAGCCTGGACACTTGCCCAAAGCCCGGGCCCACATCCATGGGGTTCTATGCTGTTCTCCTGCCCCCCCAGGGTGCAGCTTATTTTCCTGCAGGCTGCCAGAGGCTCACACTGCCCTGTGGACAGCAAACAGGGTGTGGCCCTGCCACAGTGTGGGTACGGCCCTCCTCGGGCAGGTGGAAGGGTGCTGGATGTGATGTCAGGAGACCAGGTTCCAGTCTAGCCCTCACTGCCCCTTCTCTGCCACATTTCATTCAGTACAGCTCTGGGTCCTTCCGGGTGAGCAAATGAGGCCAGGTGGCCAGATGGCTGAGGTCTGAGTGAGTCCTGCAAGTCCTCAGTTAACCTGCCCTGCCCATGTGGAAATGGCTTGAATTCCTGTGGCTGAGGCTCAGTCCCTGCAGGCCACTGGGAGCACCAGTGCCACCTGGTGGCCAGGCACTCCTGGTTCCCACCTCTCAGACTTGCTCCATCCAGATGCAGGTCATGGGCGGCTGAGTGGTGGGGCCTGAACTGTAGGCCGGTCTATCCCCCCTCCCCCAGCTCTAACCAAGTGCAGAGGGCACTCCAGCTCACTAAGAACAGGCCAGGGTCGAAATGCATGAATCTGGATTCCTCACTGGGCTGCTCAGGGCTGGACCTTTCCTCCCGGGCCCCAGCCTCACCATCATGGGCCAGCACAAGCCCTGAAACTTGTCACTCAGCTGCATGGCGCTTGTAAAGAGGAAGTACAGGGCCAGCATGAACTCCAGCAGAGGCGCCGTGAGGAAGGCAGAAGCTGAGGATGCCACATAGCAGATGAAGGTGATGAACGAGAGACCCTGCGGGAAGGGGCGGGGAAGTCAGAGCCCTTTCCTGCAGCGTTCCTGAGCCTGGCCCTGCAGCTGGGGACAGAGGAGGCTCCACAAGGGATGCCACCAGCCCAGAGTCCCACCCTGGCAGGCGGCAGAGCAAGATTAGAACCCCATTGGGGGCCCAGGCCTTCTGGGCATGCCCCGGAGTCCTGACCACAGGCCATCTCTCTGCCAGGACCCAGCCCCCCAGGATGGTCCATCCCCCTCTTCTCCCTGGAGACACTTCCTGTGGTGGTTCTCCCCATCCTCAGCAACATGGCAGAACTTACCCAACTCTGAGGGTGCCCAACAGTGTTTCAGAAATTCACCCCTAACTCCTAAGACTTGCCATTTTTCCTGAATGTGCATTTTACCTTCAAAAACAAATCTTGAACTTTAGTTCATGATATGCATGCTCGAGTGTTTGGAGTTGAAACGTTCTGCTGTCTGCAACCTTCTTTGCATTGATAAATGTAATGGATCGGTGGACAGATGGGTGGAGAGGTGGAAGGACAAACAGCAGTGTTAACAGTACAACCTCAGCGGCGGGTTTAGGGGTGGTAATACTATCAGTCTTTCAGCTTTTTAAAATGTAGTTGCAAATTTCATGATAAAAAATCATCCCGGAAAGGGGACCTTTGCACAGACACCTCGGGCACACAGTTGATACAGGCTGGACTTGAACACGCCTCAACGTTACTGCAGCTTCGCCACAACTCTGGGTGGACATAACTGACACTGGAGCAGGCTGAGGCCGCCCTGTTCCTCCTGCAGACCGTGTGCCGTGCAGGGCGGACCAAGATGAGGGGCTGTTGGCCAGGTCAGTAGGTCCTCTGGCCAGTGCCCACTGAGGCTTAAGGGTGTCCAATCCTCACACCCGCCAGTGCTCCAACGCTGTGCACAGCCCACCCGAAGGCTCGGTTCACGTGGCTAGTAGGAGGGCAACCAGAATCTGAACACAGGCTGGCTGATCTGAGTTCCAGTTTTGGGGACTGAACAGGTGGCTCACCGAGTGACAGCGAGGAGAGGCTCAGGACATGTGCACGTCCACAAGAGACAGAGGTGCACCCCTGACCAGGTCTTGTTGCACCGCCACCCCCTCGGGGTCTCAGGCTCATGCACGCACGGCCGTAGGGCCTCTGGCACTGCAGTTGTTTGCTACTAACTGCACCGCCAGGCAGGGCCCCCCAGTTAGAGTTCTTAAGCGGCCTGGTCCCTGAGAGCTGGGGGAGCCCTCTGCCCTGGTTTGAACACGTCCATGGCTGAGTGCAGGGGGCTCCCATGGGGCACTCAGGTGCCTGACAGGAAGCACCGTGGCTGCTTCAGACGAAGGAGCTGTAGAGACCTCAGGGAGTGCCTGGGACACCGTCGACTGCTCTGAGCACAGTGCTGGGGCAGCTGCATCCTCCTCGGGCTGACAGGAAACGGGGGCATGGAGAGGGCGGTGGGAGGGCAGCGGCACTACCAGGGCCTCTGAGGCAACGCAAGGCCAGGCCCTGGCTCCTGACCCAGCCCTTTCGGATCCTACTGCACTTCCTCTGCCAAAGGCTGTTCTTGTGTGCGTCCTCTTCCTGTCTCCTGTACTCCCCCAAAGCCTTATTCTGGAGATTCCCCTCTCAATTCCTGCTCTTCCCAGGTTCCTGGTGACCACTTCCTCCCCTTACGGTTCCTATCAGCTCAGGCTTGCTCTGTCCTGGGGATGGGAGACAGGCGACTTAGGGAGGCAGGAGCAAGGACAGCTCCTTTGCATCCTGATGGTCGCCCTCCCCCTCCATCCTCCCTCCCTCCTCCTCCCAGACCTGGATTTCTGACACCCCCTCTGCAACCCCCCACTGCCAGGTGATCCTGGGTGGTTGGGGCCCCACAGTGAACAGTAGATTCAAGACTTCTTCCTTGGACCAGCAGATGGCATAATGGTTGTGTCGCTGAACTCCCACACAGTAAACAGCGGTTTGAGTCCTGGATCTGGAGGCTTAAAACTCATGCTGGGGGCGTGTGCATGTGTGCTCAAAATTCCAAGAGGAGAATGGAGGAGAAGGGATTGCAGCATGGCCATCCCCCTTTGCGGGGGGGTGGGGTGGGGATGGGGGGTGATTTCTCCGTCTCTCTGCCTCTCTGGCCAGAGCATGCACCCCATAGGAAAAAAGAAAAAAAAAGACTTCTTCCCAAGGCTGGCTGGCCAGATCTGCAGGGTGGAGTGCCTCACTTGGCAGTTGGGCAGATGCCGGGCTGCTGACCCCTGGGGTGACCCGTGGGCTGAGGAGGCGGAGGAGTGTCCAGGATGGCCTCCAGTCATCTATCTGCACGGGGTACAGGGAGAGGTCCTGAGCCTCTCCTCGCTGTCACTCGGTGAGCCACCTGTTCAGTCCCCAGACGCTGCGCCTCAGCTCCCTGGTCTCCGAAGTGGGAATGAGGGCAGGTACGTGTGTCACGTTCCTGGCATCTAAGCAACAAGTAGTCGTTTCCGCGTGCGGATCCTTCATCCTGCCTCCCTCTGCCCGGCCTCTTCCTCTTGATGCAGCGAAGGAGGCCCAGCGCCAGCCCCACCCCCGCAGGCGGACGGTGCAGAAAACAGCGGGAGTTTTCCGAGTGTCGGGAAGACAAAGAAGGCTTGACCCGTGGCGGAGGGAACCGGCGGGAAGGAGGAAGGCGCTTGGCAGGGGCGGGGCAGCTGGATCC